ACAGAGACAGAGACAGAGACAGAGACAGAGACAGAGACAGAGACAGAGAGATACAGAGAGAGAGAAAGAGAGAGAGAGAGAGGGAGAGAGAGAGAGATAGACCTGAGAGGCCACCACAAACAAGACACACACACAAAGAGAAGCCACAGAGGAAGGAAAGCTACAGAAGAAGACCAGGCTAGAAAGGAACAACACCGCAGGATGAAGTGAAAGTAGAAGCGAAGCACACACTGGTTTGAAAAAAAAACCCACTCTGTCAGAATTTGAGAGCTCGCGGACTTTAAATAGATTGGATGAGTTTTTTAAAACTGTTAAACAGCCCCAGGAGAATGCACAAAGTACTCTATGAACGAGAGACCAGACAGACTGGATTGAGAAAGGACAAGTTGAAAGATTGCACATCAATAGTCCAGTCTACCCAGGAATATACAGTGTCTACAGATTCCGACAGAAATAGTTAGGCTACCGTTGTCGTGGGCAGAAACAGAAGGATGAAGACACTGTCGGAGAGACACAGAAAGATGAAGACACTGTCGGAGAGACACAGAAAGATGAAGACACTGTCGAAGAGACACAGAAAGATGAAGACACTGTCGGAGAGACACAGAAGGATGAAGACACAGAAGGATGAAGACACTGTCGGAGAGACAAAGAAGGATGAAGAGACAGTGTCGGTAGGGAAACATTCATGCTGATACATTATTCTGCTACACGACCTATGGTTTGACTCTAAGGAAAGACTCTATATTAACGTGAGAGTTACGATCGATTAATGATGATAATATAGGACAAGGATTCTCTAGACAAAGGTCAACGAGCTTGATTAGGAACAGCCTCGCTACTTGTCCAGACCAACATAGTGTCACTGGCAAATGCTTCGAAAGGGGGCCGTTTGTAACCGTATTGTTGAGGAACGAGGAATTCAACTGATTCCCAAACCAATGATTTATCAGCCTTCTTATCAATTAATTCTACATCGTGGTATTTTTACCGTCGGGAGAGACAAGACGTCTCGCTAAACTCTTGGGGGAAAAAACTGTTGGTACGACGACCAAAAGGGGGGGGGGGACAAGAGTTGAGCCTTTTTGGGCAGCTAGCCGCCAGGAGAAAAGAGGAGCTAGGAAGGGAGACAAGATATTAGATCCACTTTGTTCGGAGCTGGAGCAGTCAGGAAGAGTAGGTTAGCTGACAGCGGCAAGGGTGACGGTTCCCATGCTTTTAGACAGGCAAACACATGACACATGACACATGACACAGGCCCAAGGAAGGTAGGCCACACAGAGACACAGAGGTTAACAGGGCAGAGAGAGACACGAAGGCCTTGGAAAGATGCATTCAATCAATAGAAAAAAACACTACCGAATATTAAACATTGCTAAACTGATCCCGAATAGACTCTCTGAATGTGATCCCGAATAGATTCTCTGAATGTGATCCCGAATAGACTCTCTGAATGTGATCCCGAATAGACTCTCTGAATGTGATCCCGAATAGACTCTCTGAATGTGATCCCGAATAGACTCTCTGAAGGTGATCCCGAATAGACTCTCTGAATGTGATCCCGAATACACTCTCTGAAGGTGATCCCGAATAGACTCTCTGAATGTGATCCCGAATACACTCTCTGAAGGTAATCTCGGAGAGTCAGGGAGCTCAAACTTGCAATATTATTATCATCATTACTTCCATTCTCAACATCGCTTCATTTGTCAGTTACCAGCTTCAGACTTGAAAAGGCAAAGAGCTCTTCCAGCCTTTTACGGGCATAATGAAAAGGAACAATGCCTCAACTACATAACGTCACCCTTCACATAATTAGAAGCAACAAATTTGCCACAGACTCTATTCTTATTCATAAAGAAAAAAAGATACGAAAAAAAAACAACAACAGAAAGAGGTTTTTTTTTAAAACTTTTTTTTAAACTCGGAGACCAATATGAATCTCCTCCTAACTGAAATCCTTGTAAAAAAAGTATGCTTCATAAAATAATATATCTCCCAATTAATATAGACAAATAAGCTTCATATATCTCCCAATTCACATTGACAAATAAGCTTCATATATCTCCCAATTCACATTGACAAATAAGCTTCATATATCTCCCAATTCACATTGACAAATAAGCTTCATATATCTCCCATTTAACATTGACAAATAAGCTTCATATATCTCCCAATTCACATTGACAAATAAACGAGTGACCGCTAAGTAGATGTACAAGATAAAGTAAGGCAGTACCCTGAAATACTAGAAACATGGTTAATGCAACAACAGAGTGTGTTACTAGAATCTGTCTGGTCATGAGATGTGAACGTGTCTACTATGATGCGGATGGATGGTCAAAACACTTGGTTATTATTATTATAATAATTATCATTATAATTATAAGTATAATTATTATTATTATTATTATTATCATTATTATTATTACATGTATTATCAATTGAAACATGACTGGTTTTTTTAAGACAACAGTTATCCACAAATGTGAGATTTATAGTGTAGGGGAACTTCTGTCCCGCCGGGACTTCCGCGAGTATGTCGCGTAGAACAAACCGGGAAAGTTACAACAGCTTCGTGCAGGGGACATGGGCACATCTAGAACCAAGGCGTGCAACACCACGAGGGGGGGGGGGGGGGGGGGGCAGGAACGAAACGGGACATAAGGTGAAAAAAATGGTGAAATGGTATAGGTTTAACGCCCCTATCAACACTATTAGGTTATTTAAGAGGCGGGGGCCCCGAGTTTAACGTCCGTCTCCGAAAGGACCGAGCCAAGTGGGAAATTTGTGTAAAGTGCCTTTCCCAAGGACACATGGTCGGGTCGAGCTGAGGCTCGAACACCCGACGCCACGGGACATAAGGGATAGATCTGACAATGTTGTTTGTTTACTGCTAGACCTATCCTATAAAACAACAAAAACCTCTGAAGAAACAACACGTTCAATATGACGTCGACAGAAAATCTTCTATGCCCAAGTGGATTATTCATCCAAGGATAATGACCCAGTCTTCTTTTCAAGTAGATTTTTTTTAAGTGGCCAATTTATCTTTTTGTAGATTAGTGGACTACGCCATTGGTAGGTCCTACTTCTTGTTATTCCTTTTCGTTGTTTCTGTCTGTCTATTTTTCTTTCTTCCATAAACCTAACTTTCTTTTATTGTGTCTAGTGCTTCTCTTCGCTCAAACAAGGAAAACAAAGGAAACTGCTACTCAAACGCCATTTTTGGAGAACATTCTGTATCAGTTTTCTTCCAAAACACCAAGGACCCCTGCCACATGATATGACTATCTAAGGTAACATAAAATCCCTAACTGCTATGCCATTTAATTATGCGGAGGTGGAACTCAAACTGAAATACACGATGATAAAAGCGTTGAAAAAGACGTGAAACATAATGTTGAAGCATTCGCAACATAAACTGTCTGGGCGTAGAAAAAAGGACAAATTTGAAGAAAAAAAATGGGACTAAAAACGGCAATATATTTTACAACGGAAACTGATTCCAGGGAAAATATTTGGAACGTAATGACAGGTAGGCTAATGAATATAATAAACTGGTGTGCTTGGAACTGTTGCTACAGACTGAACGATGGCAGGCATAGGGAGAACATAATAATGTGCCGTGATATGGGTATGATGAAGCACAATTTCTGCTAGGAAATGCTTTTCTAAAATTAATCCAGCTTTCAATCTTGTCTGTTTCATGACTAGATCTACTTAAAGTTCTATAGGTATAGAAATGTTTTCGGTACCCTACGATAATTCATATACTTATTCTTTTGTAACAGAACTTCTAAGATGCACGGAAGTGGAACCAAATTGGAAATAAGAATATTAATCCGCTAACAGGAAAAAGAGGCTAAAACAGCACATTATGGCTGGTGCCTCTATAAATGAATTATCGATGGTCAGGTCATGGTCAGAGCTATAAGAATCTACAACTAGAGTCTCCAAGTGAACAATTCAGACAGAGATTGTGTAATTGAAGCAGGACTTTATTTAGAAAAAGCATTTCCCCCTGCAGAAAGTTCACAAATGAGCGATCTGAGATGATAAGGAAAAACAATGCTGCCAAGTGATTTACAACATCGATCAAGATTGAAATAGACTTTTAGATTTTTACTTTTTCAGATTTCAAGTATTGTATCATGTAATTCATTTGAAAAACTAAACAAACCACCGGGAAAAGAAGTTGGGGGAGGGGGAAGAGTGGAGGGAGGGAGGGAGGAGAGATAAAAGATTACTTATCAGTGCCGTTGACAAATACTTGAATTTAGGATTTGGATTTGGGGGATTTTGGTATTTCACAACATTCAAGAGAATTAGTTTCAGAAGGAATAACGGGATCAAAAAATGATCTTGAGAGATCCACAAAATGTAAAGAACGTATCAAATTATTAAATTCACGCCATAGAAATACGAAAAGTTTTTAAACAGGTGCCACGTCTATGATAAAATTGAGGGGGATAAAACGGAGGAGGATAAAAGGTTTTGAAGATTCAAAAGTTGTTGGTCGTTAAGGAAGAGGAGAGGAAAAAACCGTTAACAGTTTTGTGTGTGATGGTATTACTTGACAGCATGTGTGAATGTTCCGGTCTTTGCTGGACTGCACGACAGCACCAGTGAGGCTTGACCAACAAACTCTGCAGTAGTGAGTGTGAGCACAGATTGTTCTCCAACACTCACTGACTCTCATTTTGGTTTGGGGGTGGGGGTTTCGTAGTCAGTCTTGTTGGGTTTATTTATAACACATTACATTCATTGGAAGAGTAAAAGTAGAAGCCAAAAGCCCCATCTCATTGTAGGTGGTACGGCAAAATGAACATTTACAATTATTTCTGGTAACTTTACTTTTCTCAAGAGGTCACCAAAGAGTTGGTTTTGCTTTTTTTATTTGGTGGTTTTTTGGGGTTTTTTAAAGGGTTTTTTCCCAAAAGGGTGGGGGGGGGCGGGCGGGGATAGAACAGAGTTCGTGAAAACACAGCAAAGACCGAAGCATATTCTTTTTTTCTGAATTGAGAAGGAAAAAATGAAAATGAAATATGGGATGGGAAAAAGGACATCCAGAATGTAAATAAATTCTGTTCAAATTCACACACTTTACCGGAGCAGAATCAGGCTGCAAAAGAAGGATTAGTTCAATTAAGTTATTTTACATACAACATTTATAGATAAATTTAGGGATGTGCATTTGGATAATTAATTCATGACTACATAGTTGGCTCGGCTGTTAGAATTTGATCAACATCTCAGGCTTGGTAAACATAGTATTATTATTATTATTATTATTATTACTATTATTATTATTATTATTATTATTATTATTATTATTACTATCAGATTTAGTATTGCAAGACCAAGATCCTAACGATTTGCTCTCATTGCAAATAGTGCACTTACGACACGGGAGACGTTTTAGAGTGGGCAAGTGGTCAAGTGGTCAATGGCTACTGCACAATAGGATGGAGTTAATGGTCATGGCTTTACCTGTGTGCATTATTCAGGTCAGTTTTAGAATTAATCTGATACAAAATTCATACATACTACTTATACTGGAAAACATTAATTGACATTTTAATTCCATTAATTAATTCATCACTCACGTTCATAACACCAAATAAGGAAATAACATATGACCCTTTACTGGCAGAAGCAATAGACAAAATCCCAAACGAGAATGGAATATATCACTGAATATAAAAAAATCACACCCCCCCCCCCACCCACCCCCCAAAATGAATTTTTAAAATGCAACAACAGCACATTATTATCATTATAATACGACTATGAAAAAATAATACATCCCCTCCCCTTTCCCAACCAACGTATCCCCATCTATTGCTTCTGCAACGAGGTCTTCCAAAAAGACAGAATGCAACTTAGGAGTTAAACTATAGCTAGAAACACAAGGTACTTAGTACACAGAGTCAACGGAGAGAAAGAACGACCAAAGGAAAGCAGAAGAATGTTGCATTGAAAACCAAACTGAGCTCTAAAGAAATCAACAAATCAGTAAATCTTGAAATGAAAGATTTGCTATCTACCAGAAGTGAAAACAAAAGCAAAAGTCAAATTGTTAATGAAACAATAGCCAGAAAAAAGGACAATATGATTACAAAAATGTCATAATTATTATACACAATGTGGAAACAATGACGTCACAATGATATGAACGAATGAGTCTAACATTGCGGTCTTCATAACATGAACCTACCAGCCCTACTTTTGTGGCAGAAGCTATTGTGGATGTTGTTGTTTTTTTTGGATTTCAGAATCATATTTTTTTTTTATTCTCTTCGAAAGGGGACAGGAGTCGATTTTTATCATCTCTAAATCGTCACTTTACAGAAAACAGAATACACAATATGATCTGCTTCCTCCAGTACCTTAAAGTTATGTTGTGTCCCCTTTGTGGTGGACTTTGAAATTCGACATTCTCAAAACTCTTTTTCCTTTCTAAAAATGGTGTGCGAATGAAATCTTTAAACACAATGACGCAAATAAACATCGTGCTAGCAAATTTCTCATGACAAAGCAAAATGAGACAATTGTACAAACATCAGGGGAGATGTTCATTATCATCATCATCATCAGTTTGAATGTTGTTATAGTAATACTTTTGTTATCTCTCACAAAGTCAGTGCCAGTTACCTCATTTATTTCTCTTTGTTTTAGTTTTCACATCGCTATTTTATAAGGCATGATATTTTTTTAAGACGGTGATGAAGGTTTTATTGAATTGAAAACGTTCAATTGAAACGGCCTTCAAGCATAGATTAGTACAGCAATCCTGACTGTTTATTTATACATGGACGACACTGCGATCCCACAAGTTTATGCAACAATTTCCTTTCTTAAAAATAAAATAGTCATTGGAATGTTTTCTCAGTTATGACGAATGCTTTGACATCGGTGTGGGGGTGATACACAAAATAATGGGGTCATACTTACGGTGGCCATCTACCTCATATCTCCCATCATTCCCCGCGGAGACCTGATCGGAACAACCGGTACACAGCCAGACGGCGGGGTACACAGAGCACACGATCAAAACACGACAGAATACAACGTCACACGACCATTCAGTGCAGCAAAAGGCAAGTCTCACACGCGTTGTCTTTATGCCTGATCTCTCTGTCTCATCACCCAGTTGTAGCACATTAACATCCATTTCTTATGAGGAGCAGTCAAGCACAAACGTAATTTCTTACAAAGTTTTTTTTTTTTTTCTTCTTAAAAAAAACAAAATCTTTCTTGGTTCGGGGGTTGTGGTGGGGTTTGAGGGGGTTGGGACAGGAGACGTACCCAAACAATGAGGATCATCCTATAGTCAGAACTTCCTGTCTTTCCCCCTTTTTCTGCACCTCAAAATAAATCGATCAGTTGACATCTGTCAGAGAAGAGTTCTGCTCCTCAATTTGTTTTCCTTAGTAACAACTGTATGCTGGGGGGGGGGGGAGGGGGTTTGGGGGGGGGTTCTTTTTAAAATATTGTTCATTTTAAAAAACATAATCTGTGACATTGATAAATAAGGCGAACTCTTTCAAATTTCTCATCAACACAAAAAAGAAATTGAGCAAATAATGCTGACAAGTCAGGATTTTGTGAAATAAAAGCACATGAAGAAACGGCCGCAAGTGACTACAATTAGAATCTCACAACTCGACCAAAAGCCAGCGAAAACCAACGGCGAAAAAAAAGAAAAGAAAAATCCTCGATACGAAAGATGCATCAATAATAATCAGAATTATTATGACTGCATGAAGATATCATGAAACGTGAAAATCCCTACGTGTGTGCACGTGCGTGCGTGCGTGTATGAGTGTGTGCGTGCGTGTGTGTGTAGATGTGTGTGTAGATGAGTGTGTAGATGTGTGAGTGTGCCAGTGCGCCCTACGTGTCTGCTTTGTACCGAGCTAAAAGACCGCAACCAATCTAAATGACTCACAGATCCGGGCACCTTTTCCGAGTCGCTTTTCTTAGAGATCTTGAAGTTGCGGCCCTTGGGTTTGAGCCTCTCCTCAGCCTCCCTCTTCTTCTTCTCGCGTTCTTCCTTCACTCTCTGCTCCTCCTCCTGCTTCTTCCTCTTGCGTTCCTCCTGTGATGGCGACATGGTACACATTATGACGTAATCATGTGCGGAATGAGAGGTGTGTAATATGTACACAACATACAATATATTATACACACCCATAATAATATTACAATATACAAATGCATAACATTATATACATGTATAATATATGTGTGAATATATATATATATATATATATATATTGTATGAGGAGCCCACTGAAAAAACGGGCATAGTCACCAGCTGAAAATCAAGAGGGTATCAATTGTGAACTCTTGTTGACTCATTAACCAACGGCATTTCTGCTCAACGGTTGGTTGATTATTGTTGTCAGATTTCCCTTCCAACAAACATATAAAATAAACCGCCAATCAAACAATCATGAAGTTAGGAGTCCACAAGCTTTTAAAATTGACACCCTCACAATTTCCAGTTTGTGACTATGCCCGTTTTTTTCAGTGGACTCCTTATATATATATATATATATATATATATATATAAATACATAATTATATAATGTAGATAGTCTAGCAAGCAATAACTTTAGCATGATAAATAAATAGCACCAAAGTTCATATTATATTCCACTTCATTGATCCCCTTTGGGACGTTTGACGTACCATGCCTTACAGAAATCAATCACACAAACTGAGATGGCACAACACAGCAAGATCAACATGACTTGCAAGGATGATGCTACAGAGCAGTGTACAAGGAGGGAGAAGGAGAGGCAGACAGAGAAAGAGAGGGGAAGACAAAGTCATCCTTAGTGGCAAATCCCCGCTCAACAGCAAGCTCTATGTGCTTCACAATCTATACTATCACCCCAGCAGACCTGAGAGCATTCTGAAACAACCTCAACTTCCCGGGAAGCATACAGTGCAAGCAGCCATGTATAGGTGCTAAAACATTAACATACTGACTAGATCTTTCGCTGCCTATGGCCGGGTACCCATTCCCACCTGGGTGAAGTGAGGAAAATTCGTGTAAAGTGCCTTTCCCAACAGCACAATGTCGGGCCGCGGCTCGAACCCCCGAACCCGCAGCCTCACGATAATGATTCTGGTAGCCTAACCACTAGGTCACCGACACCACAACCTCACGATTACGAGTTCGCTAGCCTAACCATAATTATGTATTTCTATGTTCCCCCTTACTCTCAAGTTCCTTCCTTCCCTCCTTCCTTCCTTCCTTCCTTCCTTCCTTCCTTCCTTCCTTCCTTCCTTCCTTCCTTCCTTCCTTCCTTCCTTCCTTACCTCTTCTGCCTTCCTCTTGACCTCCTCCTGGGCCCTGAACTCAGCCAATCTCTTCTCTTCCTCCTCACGTTCTTGCTGGCGTTGGATCTGGAGAGGAAAAAACAAAACAAAATAAATAGACAAAACAGTCGGAATTTGTTGTTAAGGAAATGTCCAATCTGAGAGACGCCAAAATCAGAGAGATAGTTGACCGAGGCCAAACTATGGAGATTTACAATTGTGTAATTATACAGTTGAAAATGGTTGACCAACTATTTAAGTGACTTACTGACTTACTAGTTAACTAACTACCTAACTAATTAACTACCTAACTAACTAACTAACTGACTGACTGACTGACTGACGGACTGACTGACTGACTAGCTAACTCACTAACTGACTGACTGACTGACTGACTGACTGACTGACTGACTGACTGACTGACTGACTAACTAACTAACTAACTAACTGACTGACTGACTGACTGACTGACTGACTGACTGACTAACTGACTGACTGACTGACTGACTAACTAACTGAGCTCACACTCACACACTCACATACTCACACACATACATACACACACATACATACACACAGACACACACATACATACACACACATACACACGCACACACACTCACACACACACACACATGACACACTCATACCCACAGACACATACACAGACAGACACACACACACACATACACACACACACACACACACACATACACACAC